TTGTTGCACTCTCCCGGCGCATGTTCAGGAACAATTTTGTTCCCCAACTACGCTAAGCCAAAATGCGGTATTGGAATGAATTCATTTAGAAAAGGACTTTTACGGGCTTTCATGAATATTTAATTTACTCTTTGGTTTTTAGGTATTTTCGAAAATCGGAAAGGGTGAAAATTTAAATTTTGCTCTGAGGGGATGAAAAGGGAAATAGGGGCAATTGTTTTACGAAATCTCTTAGATACAATAATTTTTAAGATTAGATTTTAGATTTTAAGAAACATATGATTCTTCTTATAAGAGAAAATACTATTTTTTTAAAAAAAAAGTACTCTAAGATATGACCGACGAAACACCTAAGCTTTTAAAGATAAGTGCATTGAAATCGTTTCATATGTTCCAAAGACTCCAGGCAGGCAGGCAGGCAGACAAAAATGGTAAGATGAAATTGAAATTGTTTTATATAGTCTAACTAACGACATATTAAAAAAGGCAGTTGTTAAAAAAAACAGACTGACACTCCGATTTTATTTGTATCGAGACATTGTGTACAAGTTGCCTTCTTTTAAAAAAACGAAATAATTTGAAATGAGAAATGTAATTTTTGCTGTCTATTGCTTAACTATGGTAGTGGCGTGTCCAAGTGAGGAGGGGTTATGACAGCGAAGGCCTCCGGGGCCGGAGTCGAAAGTGTCTTGGCGAACGCCAAGGGAGCAATGACTCCCTCCTCTAACTCAACAATTTCAATAAATTCCCTTACTTTCTCCTAAACACTGATTATCTTTCATCAACTAGCAAATTAAATGAAATATTTTTAAAAACATTTGTGAAGAATCCGAAAATGGCCTTCCTCCATTGATTCTGGGTTCTTTCCTTTACCAGATGCTCATTTGTTACAAATGGAAGCGAAAACAATTGCACTTTTTAGATATTTTGCGTGATTGTCAAATAACACAATATACGATTTCACATAATTTTTTATTCTAAAATTTTTGCAATTTTTTTTATTAAACGTGGTGACTCTTAAGTATGCGTGTAAAAGTTTCTGGAGTGTCATAATAACAGACGCATTCGGAAACTGATGCACCAATATTTTCAGTTCAATGTTTCAAGAACATAAATAAATTATGTAAAGGAGAAGGCTTATAATATCTATGAATTGTTGTAGAGCTAGCACCGTAAAATTCTTTAGATCATTTTTTTATTAAAACAATGGATAATCATAATTTGCAAACAGTCCTGCCCAAGGAGGAAGGAATTGAGAACAAGACCAATTTCAGTACAATAATGTAATTATGAGATGAAAAACTGAACTGTCTATCGATTATATTAGACTCTTAATTTGTTTTTGTGTAAAAATGCCAACGTAACGGCAGATAAATTCAAACACAACAGCGGGCATATACAGCAGAGCCATCTCGCGGTTTCTTCACCACTTACTTTGACGCACTCTCGTGGGCAATTCGCAAACTCGTTGGGAGTGTTCGCTTACAGGCCCGACGGCCGGCACGCTGTTGTGACAGTAGAGGCTGCTAACTGGATACCTCGCGAGCTGATTATAGTTCTTGCTTTGTGTAGTAGGGCTTGCCAAGTGGTTTTCACTTAAAGCGTCCATGGGGCAGGTTCAAGAGCTCGTTTTCCAACCGGAGCTTTTTGTTATCTTCTATGAACAACATTTCTGGCCATGAAAGCACAACGCCGGCCAGTGAAATTACTTGCCGGTGCATTTGCCCTTGGTTATGTTGGAACGTACACTTTTCTTGTGAAAGTGTGGCAATTTGATGAAATTGCATATTTCAATGTTCTATAGTGTATGCGGGAGAATTGTGGGGATGGTAATGTAAACGAGGACGGATGTGCGCCTCTACGAAAATTACTGCTTCATGTTCGAAATCTCTGCAGGATGTCGGTTGCAAAGTTCAGGTAACTGATACTAGGCATTCCTGAGTAGCCATAAAATGATAAAAATATACTGTGAAGGTTATAAGGGTTGACATTAATGGGTCACACAGCACTCTCAAAGTGAAATCATCCATGCCTCCAGAGGATGCAGAAACTGCGATAGGAGTGTGAACTTATAGGACACGAATCTTGTACTCTAATCCCTTATCGTACCGCATGACTAGAAATGAACTTACTGCCGTGAAAATCTGGATAGCAACCCTCGAACTAAATGGTTTCTTACAATCTTACACTTTTAAGGTCATTTGATTCTTTGCTACGCATATCACGGTGGTGTAGCACTAACCTTAAGCCTCTGCGATTAACTTAAAATAAAGCCCTCAACGTTTGTTGAATGACTTCAGCTGGCCTTATTTTTTCTCCACAGAATCAATAAAGTACCTCGGAGTACAGGTAGTAGATTTACACAGACCCGTAACGTAACACACTTTGTGAATAAAACAAAACAACGAGTAGCCATTCTTAGATCACTTATATAGCATCGCTTCCCCTTTTTTAACTCTCTTCATAATTATTTTATGGAAGACCGTCATTAGACCTGTTATCATATGCCTGTCTAAAATGGAGTGAAACATTAAGAACTTCATTATTAAAACCTCCAGTTCTGTAAATCGTTATTTTAAAATCGCAGCAGGTGCACCAATTCCGCAACTTCCAATTACATACATACTTTCTCATAAGTACTTTAACTGTAGTTTTAATTCACATAATGCATAATTTCTCCTCGTACCTATATGCACCTCTTGTGACCTCAATTTTTAACTTAAGACGAGACCTACCGTCATCAAAACGGCAACTTTCCAGGATGCCCATTACATGTTATTTTCTAAAAAACTCAGAATTTAACAATAAAATAGTTCTAAATGGTAAAAGAAACCGTTTATTACAAACATAAATACTTTGTTGTGCAACGTAAATATTTGTTGAGTGAGTTTGTTGGAAAAAATAAAAAA